TGCTGACCTAGAAATATATTGATTCATGTTTACTCCCGAACTCTACCACGCGTGGGGTATTTGGCCGCACCTACCGCACCCCATACCCCCACCCTCCTGGGCCCACTGTCAAGACAGAGTCAAGTAGACAGCAGGCCTGATCGGGAGCAGATGTCTGGCTCGGCGTGAATCCGCGGGCACCGGATCCCCTGGACCTCACGACGTCATCACCACTGTTTTTGCCTGAAGTAATGATCGCCAAGTGTTAACAAATTAAATAAGGAGGGGGTCACTTCGTAGGACTTACTGGAGAGCAATGTCGGAACCACTCTACTGTTTCCACACGCACAGATCAACAGGAAAGGTGCTGAGGTACTAACCATAAGATCTGAAAAATGCTCGCACAGGACGCCCAGACGTAATTGAATGCTGTTCTTTGGAAAGAACAAATTGAGATGGCCAAGACAAAACAAAAGAAGAAAGACTGGGGTATCCACGCACCAATATCACCAGCATACACCCTCCGTAAACATGTCCCTAGCGCACGGGCTTTAAATGCCTAGATTGATTATTTGGTACAACTCTGGATTTACCTGACGGATAAATCTAAGAATCAAAAACCTGTAAACCAAGCACCACCGTTGTAATGATTATCAGGTAGGTCACCCCCAATCTGCATTTACTGCAACACGATGGTCCATTCCTGGTTTAACTTGATCAAAAATCCTTTTATTCACCTGAATAGACACGTCACTAGCAGTCATTGCTTACTGAACCCCGTTGTAAATACAAATACGACTCCCATTTGTCCGTATAGTGTCCCCACGTTAGGGTTACTAACTGGCTTGCGATTTCTGGTAAGTCCATTGCCGTGCGGCTGAAAAACTAGCTTCTGGAGGCCCGACCTATGAGTATCACTCGAGTTTTCCCGTTACATTCGTTAAAATCAGTTGTCATGATAGAATCTCGAGGACCCTCGTCTGACAAAAGGCATTTCCTGCTGAGAAGCTTTACGGCCCAGGATTGCAACCACCATTCGTCCCTGTATGTTGGGTAGTTTACATTGTCCTAGTTTGGAAAAAACAGAATTTTATCAAAAACTGTGGACTTTCTATGCTTCCCACCTGCAGGGATAATTTATACAAAGAGAATGATATTTTAGGGCGCCAACTTAGAAAACATTCTGACATAAGTCGCTGGCCTTTGGCACATTCTGAAGATACCTGAGGAGCAATTAGCGTACGCTGACTGTGTTCTACTGTTAAACGTTCAGGTGTATTTTCACATTTGGAGACCATGACGATTCCAAACTGTGCTTTGGAGGCGACCGAAGGCTTGACTGGCTTTCGAGATCCTGTTGGCGACTTCTCTCCAACTGAGCACAAAGCTGAAGATGTACAAGGCCGTCATCCTGCCGACGCTACTGTACGGAGCGGAGACCTGGACGGTGTACACGAGGCAGGCACGTCGACTAAACCACTTCCACCTCAGCTGTCTCCGCCGCATCCTGAGGCTGAACTGGCAGGACCGCATCCCCGACACCGAAGTGCTGGAACGGACGGGAATTCTGAGCAGCTACTCCATGTTGAGACAAATGCAGCTGCGCTGGAGCGGCCATCTGGTGCGCATGGACGACGAGCGACTACCCAAACGACTCTTCTACGGAGACGTCGCGACGGGTTCTCGTCGTCAAGGAGGCCAAATTCGCCGTTACAAAGATACTCTGAAGTCCTCCCTGAAGCGCCTGCACATTAACCCGACCAACTGGGAAGAGCTCGCCCGCGATCGTCCGACATGGAGGAGAACAGTGAAGACGGGCGCTGCGAAGCCCACCGCATCGCCGACGCCAAAGTGAAACGCGAAGTCCGCAAATCACAACTTCGCCCAATACGCAACGCCGCCGCACAACCTGTCCCTACGTGTCCTCGATGTCAGCGGACATTCCGGGCACGAATCAGACTTGTTGGACATCTTCGAACCAACTGCACCTCTCGAACTGCTCCAGCCATCGTCCCCGCGCCCGCCTCTTCCTCGTCCTCTCTTCCGCCAACTAACTCTGACACTCCTTCTGCACCACCACTTCCATCCTCCTCCTTCTCCTCCACTGCCCCAACGGTGGCCGTTCAGGCTGCCGTCTCACACATCGCCAACCACGACACAGCAACCGCAACCACCCCCACCTGCCCTCACTGCGACCGCACCTTCATCTCACACAACGGCCTGGTCGGTCACTTGCGAATCCATCGCACAGAGACTGGTGAACCAGTGCCTGGAGCACCAACCTACACCCACCGCACTCGCCTCCACTGCCCACACTGCCCTCGCACCTTCACGCATCGCATGGGTCTATTCGGCCACATGCGCATCTACAACGACCTGCGGTAGACAACCGCCGGTCACACCGCACATTCCCTCACTCCCTACCTCCTAACACCATCACCCCACCAGACATCAACCCCCACACACCTCATGCACTCAACTGCCGCCTCCCACGCAAGTGGGAAGTGTGC